GCCAATTGAGCTTGATGTCCCCTGCGACTATGGTCCCAAGCCCGCAGGATCAACTACTCGGTCCCTCTGGGTAGCTGGCTGTGACCAAGTAATGACCATTTTTCTATTAATATTTAAAAATATTTTTTTAAAAAAACCTTTGCTATCTTCTGATTATAGTTACTGTTCCATATAAGTAAAAATTATGTTTGTAAAATCAGTTTTTTCACTTATTCATTCTTCTATTTGTTTACACCTTCTCAGTGCAGAACTGAGCAATAAAAATGACTCTGCATTGTAACTTATTCAGCTTCAAAGCTAGTCTACAATATTATTATTGTAATTATTGTCCCTGAATATAAATGAAGGCTTTACCAGCTATATCGCATGTTTCAAGCAACCACAATACGTGAATATTCAGACACATTATGCGCTCAAAAAAAAAAATTTAGCAAATGATTATTAATGATACCCAAAACAGGTTGTGTTTCTTTAAAAGGCAAGTTCCTGAAGCACTTGTCTCATCTACAATTTGATTTACAGAGATGAGACCTACATGGGAATCCCTGGGTGGTACCAATGGGTTAACACTTGGCTGTAACTAAAAAGTTGGAGGTTCAAGTCCACCCAGACATGCCTTAGAAAAAAAGCCTTGCAATCTTCTTCTAAGAAATCAGTTCTACTCTGACATATATGGGGACTGCCATGAGATGGAACTGATGTGTCTGCAAGTGGTAGACTGGCACATAGCACAAACTACACAATGTAGTTAAACTCTCAGAGACATGTTGACTGACATACATTTATTATTGTCTGAAACAGACAGACAGGTGAAAAAAAAAGTAAAGACCTCTAAGATTGTCTCTAACCTTACTCTAAAGTGTTCTGATGATCTATAATCTATATTATCACCAGTATGTGATGGATATAGAAAGTGATTAGAGAAACAAACTATTTCCTTGATATTTCCCTACTGCAAACTCAACAACACTCAAGAGAGCCCAGAAAGAAGATTCACTCTCTGCCACCACAGCATCCCAGGTAGGGAGAGTGGCCAGTCCCCTTAACAGGAAGGTTGGCAATTTTAACATTTTTTGACTATCTATCCTTTAGATGGCACTAAGGGATGTGTTAAGTGTTCACCTGCTAACTGAAAGGCTAGCAGTTCGAACCCACCAGTTGCTCAGCCAGAGGAAAGACCTGGCAATCTGTTCCCATAAAACATCACAGCCTAAGAAACCCTACGAGGCATCTCTACTCTGTCCTATGGGGTCTCTGTAAGTTGGAACTCATTTGATGGCACACAACAAGAGCAAGGATGGGAGGGGGACGGCAGTAGTTCAGTGTAGAATTCTTGCCTTCTAAGCAGGAGACCGAGTGTCAATTCCTGACTGATGCACCTTGCTCAGCCACCACCTTGTGTGCTACTGTGATTCTGAACAGGTTTCAGTGGAACTTTCAAGCTAAGATAGACTAAGGAGAAAGACCTGGAGATCTACTGTTGAAAAATCAGCCAAGGAAAACCCTATGGGTGACAATTAACCAATCCAGTTGGGCAAGGGGCTGTGATGGGCAGGGGCTGACTCAATGGCAGCTAACAACAAGGGATGGGAGGAAAGAAAGAAAGAGGTAGAATAGTATAAGGAAAATAAAACATATGTGACCAACAATATTTTTTTCTTGAGTGACTCTGAGTTCCCTGGAGTTTTGAAAGAATTCAATGTGTTGGAAAGATCTTTCCTATTAGCACCATCATGGGCCACCCTTATTCTGCATGTCCCCAAGAACTACCCTCACCCGCTTACATCTTACAATGAATCTTCTTCAATCATTGCCTTCACAGAAGTTAAGGAATCATCTCTCTTCAAAGTTTTAGCCTCCTCCTAAAGTCAAGTTTGCCTAAATTTCCACAGTGAATAAGATCATTCACCCTTGAAACAAAAAGGCACATTATGAAAAAGTAGCTTAAATAACAAATGAACATATTCACATACCCGGTAATTTCTCTTTCTCATAAAAAAGTAATAAAGTCAAGAACAGTTAAAACTCTTAATGTCTTAAGTAATTCTTGTCCTTTGTGGTTTAGTAAAGTGCATCATTTGGGAAATGTCACTTTGATACTTCTCAGTGCTGTTTTGGTTTCTAATTTAATGGCTGGTGCTCAATAGTGGTGTCTGCCACAAGCCACCA